TCCCAGCTACTCAGGAGGCTGAGGCAGGAGAATTGCCTGAACCCAGGAGGCGGAGGTTGCGGTGAGCCGAGATCGCGCCATTGCACTCCAGCCTGGGTAACAAGAGTGAAACTCCGTCTCAAAAAAAAAAAAAAAGAGAGAGAGAGAGGGAAATACAGAGATGTGGGAGGCTATATGAAAGCTCATTTCCCGATCACTGCAAGGAGGTCTTTAGCGCAGGCGGTGGCTGTCCCCTCCCCACCCAAAGTTCAGAGCCTGCTTCTGGAGAGGGGTGGATGCTGGCCACGAGGCTTCACGCCTCCCTTCAAGATAATGATGACACATACAGTTTATAAAACTGAAAACTAGTTTATAAAACTAGGTGAAACCCACTAGTGTGGGTTCCTGCCGATCTTATGGGGCAGAGAAAGAAAAAACAGAGTAGGGCAGTATTTTCTGATGATTTCTGTATAGTAGACACGATTCACTATATAGATGTGCATGTTGGAGTCCAGAACCTAGTGGAGAAGGGAGTGTTTTAAGGACACCCAGAAGCTACCTGTTCTGTGTTAATTCTCCAGCAAGACCTGAACCTATACTTCCCCATCCCTAAAACTGTCTTTCCTTCTCAACTAAGTTCTTTATGTTTCTTAATAATAATCTCATGCATCATTTAGTTAGAAAACCTCAGTATTTTCCCCTCTTAAAACATATTCACTGTTTTTGCGCTTTGTAAATAATTAACCATCCATCTGTCCAGTGGAAGAGATCATTCGACTTTATAGCTAATAAATGCTACATGGGCATGTTTAACTCTCCGTCTGTCACCCTCTTCACATGTAGATGACATTACTATAACTTGCCCTCATCAGACCATAACCTCCGGGTAGTTTTCCAGTAGAGGGGCTCAATTTGCACCAAACCACGCTGACTTTCACCCTTTTTGCTAGATAACTGAGGCATTTGCAGAAGCATTATGTTTAGTACTTGAATGAGGTTAAATGGGCCCATCAAAACTGAGCCCATCACAACTGAGCCCATCACAACCTTTACAACACCCTCACAACACCTTGTTAAAAGAAGTCAGTCATGCCTCCTGTTTTTGACACGTAGAATGCATTGTCTGGCATTTAATTAATACGTGGATTCATGTACATTTTATTAAGCCAACATTTTCCAGAGTGTCCATGAGATATTCAGTCTCTGGTCTAATATGTTTGACATGTATACTTGCTTAAACAAAACTAAGCAGATCTCTTCACTTTGAGACTTCTTAGACCTTTTAATATGCTAACACATGTTATGATTCTCTGTAGGAAAATACATCTCCTAAATACATTTGCCCATTCATAGAGAGTAAATCACAGGACCCGTATTTCAAGGTGTACATTGAGATAAACAGTTTCCTGCATACAGTTAACATGAGGGAGGATGTGGGTTACCACTTAATCTCTGTATCTAATCAACTCAGCTCAAAGTTCCAAGTTATTTCTTTAGCTAATACTAAAGTATGAAGAATTTTGTATGACCATCCTCAAAACTATGTATGCCTTCTGTTCCTGTCGCACAATGTGGTGATTATGGTATGATTAGAATGAGAGAAGCAATAAGGGATACACTGTTTTGAAAGGAGCCTGGGAAGGCTAATCAGCTGTTCACTTGGTCTATCTTACAAAAATGCGGGCTGGATTTAGTGGCTCATGCCTGTAACCGCAGCACTTTTGGGAGGCCGAGGCAGGTGGATCACCTGAGGTCAGGAGTTACAGACCAGCCTGGCCAACATGGTGAAACCCCATCTCTACTACAAATACAAAAATTATCTGGGTATGGTGGCGTGCACCTGTAGTTCCAGCTACTCGGGAGAGACTAAGGTAGGAGAATCGCTTCAACCCGGGAGGCAGAGGCTGCAGTGAGCCAAGATCGTGCCGCTGCCCTCCAGCCTGGGTGACAGAGCGAGACTCTGTCAAAAAAAAAAAAAAGAAAAATGTTAAGTATACACATATATTCATATAAATGAATGTGGAGGTGGCTGTGTTTGTGTTAGAATTAATTTTAAAAATCAAATCTTCCTAAGAGCGGACTAATCTCTGTCATAGCTTAAAAGGCTATTAGAGCAAATCATCTCCCCAGCCTAGGTGACAGAAAAGTCAGTAAGACCAAGAAACTGCTGGTTTCCATCCTGCAGGGTGTCTGCTGCTGCCACCAGTAGCACAGCTTTTTAAGCAATCCAACAGTAATCTGTTTATCTTCCAAAGAAGTGAACTGAAATGATGAACTGATCTTAAATACCTATTTAAGATCTTAATGCAAAATAAATTAATCAGATAGAGGGAATAAGTTTATTCATTCAACTTCACAGGTTAGGAAAATTGTCCCTGATTCCTGAAGGTCTTAAGTGGTGAAAGTCTAACTGGGACGAGGAGTACAGCCTTCGATCAAAATGCCTGATGTCAGCAGAGGACTTAGAGAAGTAGGCAGAAATAGTCTCACATTGAGATGGGCAAAGTAGGGGGTAAGACAGTGTTGGATAGGCTGTGAACTAGGTCAGCCATCAGCATTTTAAATGATCAGATGTTCAAGATGAGCAGTGATGCTAAGAGTGTTAACTTACATTCGTATGTGGATGCCATCTCATTTCTGCCCTTTTTTGGCTCCACAAATGTACACACTCCCACCTGTGTATGTCCTAAAGAAAACAGACCACAGGCTGAATCATATGCTTTTGTTTTGAGCTGCATTTATACAAACTCTATTTGCAAAATGGGCACACTAGGTCTCAGCCAGTGCTTTGAGTATCTTAAAATTTACCTTTCTCACCCCTCCTCCAGTCCTTATCTCATGAATGTCATTACTTCTTAGATTGATGGGTCAACCTTGAGAACGATCTGCATGCAGCATGGCCCACTGCTGACATTCCATCTGAATCTAACCCAGGGCACTGCCTTGATCCGATACAGCACCAAACAGGAGGCAGCCAAAGCCCAAACTGCACTGCACATGTGAGTATTCCGTCCTGTACCCACGTAGACAAACATACATGAAGATGCACCCAGCCGGGCGCGGTGGCTCAAGCCTGTAATCCCAGCACTTTGGGAGGCCGAGGCGGGTGGATCACGAGATCAAGAGATCGAGACCATCCTGGTCAACATGGTGAAACCCCGTCTCTACTAAAAATACAAAAAATTAGCTGGGCATGGTGGCACGTGCCTGTAATCCCAGATACTCAGGAGGCTGA